ATGAATATTCGCTTGACTCTTTCAGCCAAAGCCTAAGTCCCTAAGTGAGGACAGCAGAGTGCAGGTCCTCTCAGCCATCCAGTGCTGGATATATGGCCTAAGTAAAATAGGCCATTATTTTTTTGAGTAACTGGGGCCCAGGGATTGTTGGATTAATAAGAACCTTTGTCTCCAGATGTACCCCACATCTCGAGTATAGGCTATCACCATTACCCCACCACTGCCTGGAAGGTATAATTCAACCTCCAAACATTCTTGACTTTAAGGATAATGCTATGATGGTAGGATATATATATATATGTGTGTGTGTGTGTGTGTGTGTGTGTGTGTGTGTGTGTGAAGTGATTATCATCATCAAGCCAATTAACATTTCTATGAATTCTCTAACTATCCTTTGTGTGTGTGATGAGGACTTAAAATTTACTCCCTTAGCAAATTCAAGTGCAAAATATGTTATAATTATTACCCATACTGGCGATGTTGTACATTAAATCTCCAGACATATTCATCCTTGACACCATGACTAAATGTGACCCTCAGAAAGACATGAGGGTACTTCACATATGAATAGGACAACAAACAAAATATTTGATGAACATATGGGAAGTTATTCACCAACATCCAGTTACTACTGCTACTCACCAACATCCAGTTATTCATTTCTTCTGAACAGCTGGAAAGCTGTATTTTCTGGCTGCCTTTTGTGAGGCCACAGCATAAAGTCAGTGAGCCTGAGTGATATGGGTTATCCCCAGGGTACAGCACTGAAATGCTGGTGTCACACACTCTAGAGTTCTTTCCTCACTTCTTCTGCTATGTTGATCACAGAAGTCATGTGAAGCAGAGAGATACTTAATAAGCCTGAGTCTCCAAGTCAGAATAACACAGAGCAGAGCCCACATCTAACTCAAGATGAACACGTAACTTGAGCAAAAACCATTTTTGCTTTTTGAGGTTTTACTCTTCCTACGATGTAGGAGTCATTTTCCTTGGCATTTACTCAAAGGAGTTGAGAGAGTACAATTCCATAAGAATCACCATGCAAATGTTTATAGTGACTTTAATCATAACTGTTAAAACTTAAGAGCAACAAGATATTATTCAGTAGGAGAATGAACAGAAAATTGATACACCTAGACAACTGAATAGCATTCAATAATAGAGCTCTCAAGCCATAAAAAGACAGGAAGAAATCTTAAATGTGTATCACTAAATGAAAGAAGACAAACTAAAAGGGATAATATATATATAATTTCAGCTATAAAGGTGAAATTAGAGACACACAGAGTAGTGTGATTAGACACACTAATTAGTGTGATTAGACACACTAATCACATAAAAGATTAGTGACATCCAAGAGTTAGGGCAAAAGAAGCAAGAATAAGGGGAACATAGGGGGCATTTAGGGCAGTGAAATTATTTTGTATGGTACTCTAATGATGAATATAAGCCATTAAATATTTGACAAAACCCACATGACATATACCATAAAAAGTAGAGCCAAATATAAACTATGAACTTTAGTTAATAATAATATAACAATATTTTTGCTGAGAGAGATTGAGATTTGAAGGTTATTCATTACTGAAGTATGCTACCCCATCATAACTAATACAGCATTTATGTCATTTAATTGTAATAATCTCACAATAAAGAATAAAAAATATAAGGTATGTGATGTAGTTTGTATCTGAAATGCTCCCCAGAGACTCATGTGTTAAAAGCTTGGTCCCCAATCCAAGGCTCTTTAAAAAGGAGTGAATTTCCATGTAATACATTTTTCATTTAAATATTGTACTTTCTTAAGACATTTAATGGACACATAAGCATTACATTAGGTTATATAACAAATATATACTCAGAATGACATATTTGAGTTCTTTTTATGTTTCTCTGGACTCTTGAGCTATAGTAAATTGTGTGATTGCTGTATTATAAACATACTAGACAGCAGCTTAGTAACAGTATGAAGATCAAGCAAAAAGAGATCAGCAAGGAATTCTCTTTTTTTCCTAATGCAAAATTGAAATAAATCTGAGTCTTAATTGTCCTTGTGTTGCCCATATTTCCCATAAGGAATGAATGGTATAACTTGAGGTAATGAGGCTTTGCAGTTAAGAAACTCAAAGAAAATGTAACATATTACAAGATCTTTAGGTGATTCTTTGGGGAGAATTGGTCATCAAGGAGGTGTTGAAGAGAAACAGAAGAACCTAATGCAAGTGGAACTATTTATCTGTTTGTTCCTAAGAACAAGAGGCAAATTTATTATTCTGTGTTTCTCCTAGTAGTGATTTTATCCCATAATTGCATGTCTCTGTTTTTTCAAGTGAATCAATCAATCAACAATAATTAGGTACATGCACATTCTGCATCTGGAAAGCCCATGAATAACCATGCCACTTTTATAAATCAAAGATAATAGCTAAAATAACAGTCTTGTGGTCTTTAGTATAGGAAAGTTTAGCACATTTCTTCTTCCAACCCAGAAGTAAGAGTAGGCTGATTCGCATTTAATGAAATTTATACAACCTACACTGACCTTTCTTTCTGATTTTTAAATTCCCACAGAATGCCAATTAATAGTTCCTTTATAATTACATCTGTTATGTTTTCTCCATAAATTATTCAGTGTAAGTTTTGGGGAACAGAGATTATATTTAAATCAGATTGTAATTATGAAACATTTGATTGCTATAAAAACAACATAATAATTGTTAGGTATTATCATCATCATTTATACCTGATGACAGTAAAAAATACAATTGTTTGAGCTACATTTAATGAACAAATAGGTTTTCTCAAAAGACTATCACTAGAAAACTCAAATTACATTCATGCTAATGAAATCCAACCCACACACTAAATCCATATCCTTTTAATTTATGCTTTCTACTTAATGAAAAAATTATCAAAGTTTACAGAAATGCAATTATTTCAGTCTCAAGGGGGAAAAATATAAAAGTATTCTATGACAGTTACTGGATAGATTTCTAAATCATCTATTTGGTGTATTGATGCTATCTTTTTCTGGGGTCAATAACATGCTCTACCAGGACAGCTCTTACATAAAAGTTGTAACCTAAAAAATAGGAGGTTCCCATTCCTATAGTCCTCAAGACTTAAAACCTTTCCTAGAGAAAATGTGCTTGTATGTCAAACCATCAAATAAAACTGAAAGTACAGAAGAATTCTCAGAAGTGTCTTAGAGGTAGAAGAACTGGAGAACATCAGAGGTGTAGTAAGGAAAAGGCTAGATTAATGATGCGGAAGATGGAAACAGGGTATATAGGATCTGCCACAGGTCTGAAAATTAGAATGTTTGGGGAACCTTCAGTGAAAAATGAGAATTAATGACCACGAAATTTGGTAACTAAAATAAGGGTTAAATATATGGGAGAGCATCCTGCAAAATGTCTGCCTTACCATATGTGTTTGACAAGCATGTGGCATTGTTTAATGGTGACTTTATAATACATGAAATCAGAGCTCTGAATTTCTGCAAAACTCTCATATATGGTAGCTCTCCCTGCCCTAGAGGTCAAGAAACATTCTGAAAAATAATTGGTTTCATGTCTGCAGAGAGACCATTGATGGATAGTAACAAATCACATCACAAGAAAAAGAGAAAGTCTGCAAATCAGAGAATCCTCTTTTGACTTCATTCCTGCTTCCAGTGGGATATACTATCTATCACATGAACACCTTCAGTCTGAGAGGGAATGGAGTATCACTACTAAAAGCAGCTCATCATGGATTTGCTCCTTCCTCTGACCAAACTTGCATTCCACAAGTGGAAAAGTCTTCCTGAGTTTTAGAGCACTGAAAAAAGATGAAAGACTCAGTCTGGGATAGACCTGAGAAGTTTCCAGACCATATTTATAAAGCCAAAATCAGATTACAGCCAAAAGGGAACTATATGTATGAAATTGAAACTGTGATGGGAGTCTAGGAAATTAATTTAAATTTGGTAAATCTTCATGTTACATATGAGGAAACTAGGTTTGGGAACTGCTCTCAAATGCATTAGCTGGCTGATCAGATAAGCACAGGACCAGAGTTATATCTGGCCAGGCATGATGGTGCACGCCTGTAATCCCAGCACTCGGGAGGCTGAGACAGGAGGATCGTTGCGAGTTCGAGACTGGCGTGGGCTATAAAGCGAACTCAAGGCCAGCCTGAACTGCATAGTGAGACCCTGTCTCAAAAAAGACCCCCCCAAAAAATAAATAAATAAATAAATGAATAAATAAAGCCCAAGAAAAAGAGTTACATCTGCCAAGGACCCAGGGCCAACATCTGCTGCACTACACTGCCACTCCTGGAGTCAAGAGGTAGTGAACACTCTTGGAAGAAATGCTGAAAGTTGAGACAAAAAGCGCTAATGAAGCTTTTTCTTCTCCTTCCTTTCCCAGCCACCAAACCATCACTTTTCTTCCATCTCCATTCAAGGGAAAGAGAAGACTATATACTTCTAATTTCAGACTCAGCTCTATTTGTTCTTTTACTTCTCCTTCCTTACTGCCCCTGGGAAAAACTGTCTATATTTATGTATTTAGACATGTAATTTTATACACACATATTTTACAATTGTATATCCATATAATATTGCATTTTAAATTATATGTTTTTTATTTGTTTGTTTGTTTGTTTCTACTATGCTGGGCACTGAACCCAAGACCTTACCACTGAGCTTTGTTAGTAGCACATTTTAACTTTTTATTTTGAAACAGGGCCTCACCAAGTCACTAAATTGCCCAGGCTGGGTTTGAATATTAAATTCTCTGACTCAGCCTCTCAAAGACCTGGTATAACAGATTCTCACTGACACTCCCAATTTAAGGTATATCTATTTTAAAAAGCAAAGATCATCTGTTTCAAAAAGATAAGAGTTTGCCCAGAATTGACGGTCAGAGACCAGGCAAACTACTGAAGATTTTTAGGTCAGGAAAAACATTCTGACATCACAATGGTGGACACATGATATTACACATTTGTACAAACTTCTACACTACTCAGCAACCAAGAGTGAGCCCTAATATACTCTGTAGACTTTCAGGGATATTGATGTGTCAATGTAAGTCTGTAAATTATGCCACTGTATCACTCTGGTGGGGGATATATTAGCGGTAGATAGAAGCTGTGAATGTCGGAGGACAGGTGACAAGTAGGTTATCTTCCTACCTTCTTTCAATTTTTCTGTGAACTTAAAACTGCTCTAAAAAAAAGTCTTAGAAAAAATAATCGCCAACATCAAGATCACTAATATTATGAACCATTAAATTAATCGCATTTCCTCAATGAGGGGCTTCAGTAAACCAGATCATAGCTAAAAATATCAGACCACAAGATCAAAGTTTCATATATTTTTATTTCAATTTGTTTTCAAGTTTGCATTCCCATGAAAACTGAAAATAAGTGATTATAGATAGTGTAGGAAGGACAACAAGATACATAAGAAATACAGCTAAAATAGCAAACAAAACAATCCACTTGAAAATGAACAAAAGTCCTTGAATAGGCATTTCCTAGAAGATGAGACACAAATGAAAAACAGGTATATAAAAAGATGCTCAACATCACTAATCATCAGGGAAATGCAAATTAAAATGACAATAAGATAAAGCCTTACTTCAGTAAGAAAGGCTACTATCATAAAGACAAAAGATAACTAGTGTTGGCAAGGATGGGAAGGAAAGGATATTTTCAAACATTACTGGTAGGAATGTAAACTGGTATAGCTATTATGAAAAACAGTATAGAGGCGCTTTAAAAACCTAAACATAGGACTATGATCCAGCAGTTCAGAGGTATGTGCTGTCTCATGTTAATTGCAGGATTATTCAGAAAACAAAGATGAGGAATCAACCTAAGTGTTCATCAATGGATAATGAATAAAATGTAGTTTATGTACACAAGAGAATACCATTCATCCTTAAGAAGGAAGGAAATCTTATTTGTGACAACATGCATCTTTTGCTAAATGAAACAACATGATGTAGAAGAATAAATACTGTATAATTTTACTTATATGTAGAATCTAAAAATTTATGGAAATATTGTTTTCCTGAAAATTTCTAAGAGTAGATTTTAAACATTTTTGCTTCACAAAAAATATTTAAAGGCCAGGCGTGGTGGTGCACACCTATAATCCCAGCACTCGGGAGGCTGAGGCAGGTGGATCTTTGTGAGTTCGAGACCAGCCTGGGCTACAAAGTGAGTTCAAGGCTAGCCCGAACTACATAGTGAGACCCTGTCTCAAAAAAAAAAAAAAAAAAAAAAGTATTTAAGGTTGTGAATATGTTATCTAGATTGACTTAACCACTATAAAATATATACATGTATCAAACATTATACTGTATAGTATAAATGATTTTTAAATGTTATGTTTAACTTCCACATACTTGTGAATTTTCCATTTCCTCTTCTATTTATTTCTAGTTTTTTTTAAAAAAACATACTTGGTATGATTTCAGAGTTCTTAAATTTATTGACACTTGTTTTGTGACTTAATGCTAACTCTCCTTAAGAACATCCCATCTGCACTTGAGAAATTGTGCATTCTGCCATTGTCAGGTAGAATGATCTGTGAATGTGTTCAGTCTATTTGGTTTATAGAATTATTGAAACTTTTTTATTGAACTGTCTAGCTGCTGTCACTAATATTGAAAGGATAGTACTGAAATTTTCTTTGATTATTATACTACTAATTCTCCTATCAGTTCTGCTGTTTGCTTCCTATACTTGGATATGCTGATATTGAGTACATGTTCATGTTAAATGTTATCTTTTTCAGAAATTGATCCTTTTTTCACCACAAAATGTATATGTTGTGAGTTTTTTACATGAAGACTACTTAGTCTGATGTAAGTATATTCACACACACTCCTGTTCTTTGGTTACCACAGCATGGAATATCTTTTCTATCCCTTTATCTTCAGCATAGATGTGTCCTAAACTTTAAAGTGTGTCTTTTATAATAACCAGCAGTTGGATCTTGTCCTTTTATGCAGATAAGCACCAATACATTTGTAATGGAGGACCTCATCACCTTACTGTCACAAATAGATTATCAACTAAGCAAAAAAAAAAAAAATCAATTAAGAAATATGAGCTGACCCAAACCTTTGAACAAATGGGCTTAGTAGATATCTACAGTGTTCCACCCCACAACAACAAAGCTAAAGGTTCTATTTGGCCCAGATATTCCCCTTCCTGCTATATTCTGAAAGAATTAAAAGTATCATTCCATTATAAATATGTACACACTCATGTTTATAGCAACACAATTTATATTAACTAAATCTTGAAAATAGCCCAGATGCACATCAACAGATAAGTGGATAAAGAACATATGGTTTTTATACAATGGAGTACTACTTTGACATAAAGAGGGATAAACTTGAAACATTTTTAGGTAAATGGATATACCTCAAGACCAATCTTTTCAGTAAAATATATTGGACACATATGTTTAAATATCACATTGTTTCTCTTATGTGAGAAACCAAAAGTGTAAATAAGGGACAAAATGGAAGTAGGTATTGGGAAGTAGGAATAAAATGTTTAAATTAGAAAGAGAACAAGGGAGAGGGGACAGGCAAGGGAAGAAAGGGAAAAAGAAAAATAGATAACAGGAGGAAAAATGGGAACAAAGCTTTTTAATATAAGGAGTACAAGAAAGGTTAAAGGGAGGGGAGGAGATGAGGAAAACAGAAGTAAAATATATAATGTATGGATACAAATTCCCTATGACAAATGCAATCATTATGCATAACAAAAATGTACCAAGAAATCTTTTTAAGAAAAGAATGCAAAGAAACTGGCTCAGAACCTTAGGTAACACAAGCCAAACTAAAGTTTTTATCAAATGCTGCTAAATTCAGGAACAGCTAGGACTGCCTCCTACAGTGCTAAGTTTTTAAAGCAAAATCAGTATGATAATGACACACACATTTAAATTGAAAATATTCAACTAGAACTGAAAACTTGAAAATGTGTCCATTGTCTTTGGTCCAATTTCTACCGTACACCCCCATCACACAATCTCAGACTAGAGAGCGCATCTCATGCTCCCTCCACTGGAAGTTCATCGATGTAAAGCTTCCAGCAACAACACATACTTTATTTCTCTTTTGCTTCTCCTATTAAATACACAGTGTGAGTCCTTGTAAACACCATAGTAAAGTCCAGCAACAAATGAGTACTGTGGTCAAATACAGCCACAATATTCACAGAGAAAACTGTTTCCTAACCTACAACTATTCCTGAAATGTGAAGCCAGAGAAGTAATTTCTCAGAAAATAAAATATATATCAAGGAAATGAAGAACTTTTTAAATAGCCCTTCAGGTATTTAAAAAATAAAAGTATTTGATAACATTGGCAGAAGTTGTAGAGTCCTACATACATAAAATGCACACTTATTTTGACAAAGGTAGAAATGTGGATTAAATCTTGGTTAAAACATCAAGGATATAAAGGAGTCCTTGGTTGAGGATGCTGAGGGCAAAGTTTCTTGGAAGCCATAGTGTGCACACTTGTCTGGAGGCAGAACAGTTTGATATACTTTAGGGAAGAGTTATAAAATGTAAAGGAAGAACACTAAAAGATGAAGCTATGAAGAAAGATGGGTCTGGTTCTGATAGACCATGTAGGATATGGTAATAAAATCTGAATTTTACTCTAGGGGAAATACTAAGCTATTAAAAAATTGTAAGCAAGAAAATGATTTGATCTGGTAAATATGTCAAATGGATCATCCAAGTGCTATGTGGAGTATGGCATATGGGGTCTGGGGAGGGGGTAGAAATAGAACACTATCATAGACATCAGGCAGAAAGTAACAATGGCTTAGACTATGGAAGGAGGAGCACAGGCTGTGTGAGAGGGAAGGTTGTGACTGCTTCTCAAGACCAACTGGTGGAGTAGATGAAGCAAAAAGACTTCTTTTTTTTTTGTTTTGTTTTGGTTTTTTTCTGGTATCGGCAATTGAACTCACGACATTGCACTTCCCAGGCAGGCGCTGTGCTGCTGAGCTAAGTCCCCAGCCCCTAAGACTTCTGATGTAGGCAGGAAAACAGTGTGCCAGCAGAATAAGTGTGGATGTCTACAGTAGTGGACTAAAGTTTGCAAGATAATTTATTACAGAGTTCGATTTAGAATTCTGAACTTACTTTTTTTTAAAAAAACCACACAAGTTAGAGAACATTTGAGTTAGCACGAATGTGTATGGAAATGATTTTCAGTCATGTCCATGCTTAATAGAATCAGAGAGTGACACAACTGTTTAAACAAATAGTTGTCAGGATTTGACTATGTAATAGAAGCAAAGGATTTAGAATACAGAAAGCAGTCCAGTGGTATGATTCCTTCAAAAGAATTCATCCCTTCTTGGTCCTTCATTTACTAAAATATGTTTACCAACAAACCAGTGGTCTCCATGTGATGGTGAAAGTGTGAAAATGCTGTCATGTGAAGAATGGTTCATGCTCTTCATTTAGCATAATAGAAGATTAAAGAGCAATGCAATAGCATCTATAAAGTGCTGATTTGACAAGAGGATAAAAATGTGTTCTACAGGAAATATAAGGTAGATGAGAACTTAAAAATACAATAAAATATAATAAAAATAACTTGTCCATAAAAATATTTTCTAACAAGTGTCCCAAACCCAATTTGTTTAGTGAGGTGATAGTATCTTATATCACTAGAAGAATTCCTACATACCCTATATCTGGATGGGACAAAGCAGTCCTTTGTCCAATCTAATGCTAATATAACAAGATTTCATGTCCCCTAAATAAGAACATCTAGTTGGAGTTAAGGAAGAAAACTCCTGAGTCATGATATATGCAAATGAAATGAAAAAGACAAAGGTAATTAATGGTATAACCATTTCATACAGGAAATTTGGCATTTGAGTAAAAATAAAAAGTCATTAAAGGATGAAACATAAAGGTAAATGTGAGGTTTCTATAGTATGCCTTATGAGGATCAATAATTTCAAACACAGAAATTAATCACACACACACACACACACACACATACACACAATGATATCAACAATATGTATAGG